TGTGACATTCCCACCAGCAGTGCACAAGGGTTTCAATTCTCCATATCGTCCTAACACTTGTTATTTTCTAATTTTTTGATACTAGCCATCCTAGTGGGTGTGAAGTGGTATCTCATTGTAGTTTTGATTTATGTTTCCCTAATGATAAGTGATGTTGAGCATCTTTTCATGAGATTATTGGTTTTTGCCTATATTTTAGGAGAAATGTCTATTCAAGTCCTTTGCCCATTTTTTAATTGGGTGGTTTTGTTGTTGAGTTTTAGGGCTTTATATATTCTGCATATGGATCCCTCTTGAGATACAGGATTTGCAAATATTTTCTCACGTTCTGTGAGTTGCCATTTTACTCTTAATAGTGTCTTTCGATGCACAGAAGTTTTAAATTTTCATGATGTCTAACATGTCTATTTAAAAATTTTTGTTGCCTATGTCTTTGGTGTCATATCCAAAAAAGTCATTGCCAAATCTGATGTTGTAAAGCTTTGCTGCATGTTTTCTTTGAAGAGTTTTATCATTTTTAGCTCTTGTGTTTAAGTCTTTGATGCATTTTCAGTTAATTTTTGCATATGTTGTTAGTTAAGGATCCAACTTCATTATTTTGCATGTGGATATTCAGATTTTCTAGCACTACTTGTTTAAAAGACTGTCTTTTCCTCTATTGAATGGTCTTGCATTTTTGTCAAAAGTAATTTGACTCTTGAATCTCACTCTTGAATCACAAGTCCTCTAGCCTCCAGATGTGGCTTCCCACTCAGTCTGTGTATTGTGGTTACAGCCCTTATTTTGAAATTAACTTGATCATATCTCTCTCAGGCTTAAAAAGTCTTCAGTGGTTTTCCTGGCACCTTCAGAATAAAATAAAGCCCTTCAGCATGGGATACCTGCCCCTTCCTAGGGATGCTCCCCTGCTTCATCTTGCATGCCTCAGACTCTGGTGGTCCGTCTACTGGTTGATCGTAATGCTGTTTTGTGCTATTGGACATGTTACTCCTGCTGCCAGAATATCTGCCTCCCACCTAACTCCCCTTCACCTAACTCCCATTCACCTACTTGCTGCTCTACTCAGTATGTCTCCTCTGTCTACCACAACCTGCTCCCCATTATGAGAAATGTGCCCTTTGAATGCCCTTGTCTTATTTCTCTCATAGAACATAATTGCTCTGTGTTGGAATGATGGATTTATCTGCTTTTCTCCTCTCTAGATTGTGAGATCCATGAGAGCCCAGAAAATATTTTAGGATCCCTAGTGCTTAGCACAGAGCTTGGCATATGGAGGTGAGCAAGAAGATTTATTGAATCCAGTTGTCCATCCACTCATCCATTCAATATGAATGAGAGAACAGCCCTTTTTTTAAGAGGGATGGCCTTTTCTTAAAAGACCTCTATCTTGAGGCATTATTTTCCTCTATTCAAGGCCCAGTTTATTAGGTCCTGATACTTAATGGTGATAAAAGGGTATTATTATTGGAAGGTTGGGTATGTCAGAGGCACAATAGTAGTTCAGACAGTGAACTGAAACTTTTTTGCCTGGAATTCACTGGCTTTTTTGATGAGGATAGGAAGCAGCCTAGGACTATTGCTGCGACATGACATCAATCTTGGTGGCTAAGAGGAAGGGGCTAAGAGGAAGGGGCTGTGAAGGATGGTTGACACAGAGGCCAAGCCATGCTATAGTCTGTGCCTTTTCCTGCTGCTTTCTGCTGAGAGATGCAAAGGACGGCAAGGCTGAGTTGTAAATTCTTGCACATTCTTGTCCATTGATCCTGCCGCCTTGAGCAAGGCCGGGTAGCCAGTCCTATGGTCTAGAACATAAACCCTGTGGTTTTGGACACTCAGGGTGCTGTGTGTGTTGATGCTGAAGGAGTAGGCTTGGTACTTAGTTGAGCTTTCAGAACCCTGGAAATGCTTGAGTTTGCAGTGACTCATGCACAGTAGAATGGAATGCCTGATTCTGCATCCCTCTAGACAGGGTCAACAGGATCAAAACATGACCTTGATGGCCAAGCCAAGTTCTCTTTTTCCCAAAGGGTTTTAATCTGCCCTATTTAATATGGTAGCCAGTAGCCATATGTGACTATTTATATTAAATTTAAATTAATCAAAATTTAAAAATTAGTTACTTAGTCACACTAGCTACATTTTACATGCTCAGTAGCCACATAAAGCCAGTGGCTGCTGTATTGAACAGTGCTGATTATGGAATATTTCCATCACTGCAAAAGGTTCTCTTGGACAGCACTAATCCAGATCTCTTTGTAGGAGAAGAATTGGCACCTGGGGCCTCCTAATCTTCAAGGGGCACATTGCAGAGCATGGTGTTGACCCATCTGGATACCATGTTTGAAGTTGACATGGCCCAGAATTTGACTTCCACCAGTTAAAAATATACTTCGACAGTTTTGTATTTAACCTGTAAATCCAGAAGCATGACAGGGCCTTCTGGATGGAGCACTGTGAAATTAGTGTACACTTCAAACCCTCTTCCCTAAAAGATCATGCGCTACCGTGCTCTACGTGGTAGACCTATCTCGTAGTGTAGGCTTCAGTAGACACTCTTTGACAAATAATTGGTTCTGTGCTGCTGATAAGCCTAATAAGTGAAAGATGGTCTTTCTCTTAAAAAATTGAGATACATGATACCTGTCTCATAAACTCTAATTCACAAGCCCTGGCATTATGAGAGGCACTTAAAGCATGAATGGCATTAAGATTATCCTTTAATTTTGCAGTAGGCAAATGACCTCCCAAAGATACTTACTTCCTAATCCCCAGAATTTGGGAATACGTTACCTTACATGACAAAGGGGATTTTGCGGATGTGAGTAAGTGAAGGATTTTGAGACGGGGAGACTATCCTGGATAATCCCAGTGGGACCCATGTAATCACACAAGTCCTTAAAAGTGGAGAACTTTTCCCTGCTGTGGTCACAGAAAAAAATGCAACCAATGTAAGAAGGGTCAGAGAGATTCAACGTTGTTGGCTTTGAAGGTAGAGGAAGTGACCACAAGCTGAAGAATGCAGACAGGCTCTAGAAGCTGGGAAAGAGAAGGAAACGTATTCTCTGCAGAGCTACCAAAATGAATATATCCCTGTCTACACCTTGATTTTAACCTGGTGAGACCTGTATTGGGCTTCTAACCTACAGAACTCTAAGATAATAACTATATGTTGTTGAACCTGCTAAGTTTGTGGGAGTTGTAACAATAACAATAGGAAATTAATACACCTTTTATACAGTGGAGGATGACTAAATAATTTATTTTGAAAAATACACTGTCACAAAGGATGAAATATTCATGATCACAAATTAGTGCATTCTTAACTGTGGATAATTATGTATGAAGCCAAATTGTAATAAAACTGTTATTTGCCAAACGTAGAAACCTTGCTTTGTGACTAGGCTGAGTCCAGAAGGTTATTCTCTCTGCTTCTACCTGTTATGTATCTGGGCAAGTGTAAGGCCTTTGCAGGTGAATCCAGTAGAGAACATGCTAAGAATGAGCAGCAGTCATGAACGACTCTATCACTGAAAGCCTTCTAGCCATTTCATAGCTTCACTTCCCTGGTTTTATTTTTTCAGAGAGGACTGAAGGAGATGAATGGATAATAAACTATTGCTAAAAACTTGGTCTTGATGAACTCTTTGATGCGGGGCTATGGGGGGGATGGTGATGGGTGGGTACCATGGGATCAATAGCCCTGCACCAGCTCAGAGGTATAATTGTGAGGCTGGTGGAAATGCTCATCAGGGAGAAGGAAATCAGGACCACAGCTTCTGAGGACTGAACATGCTCTCAACTCTCAAATATAGGATCATTATTGGCCTTGGCATTCATGGTGTTAGCCTTGACTCAGATGAGAATGCCTCAACCCTTCCCAAGTTCTCCGAGGCCCCTGAGTAGACTGTCACTAGGACTTGGGGACATGAAGCTCAGTTAATGGCCTCTTATTTTTACTCTGCCATAGCACCCACCTGACTTCCGGAAGGCATTGCTTCACTTTCATAGACAGAAGATGTAACAGCTGCCACGAAGATCCCTGGAGCTCTGCCCAGCGATTCTCACTCCCAGCTGGGTAGCTGACCAGTTTCCCCTGAGAAGACATGGTTTCCTCCAGCAGCAGCGGAAGGAGTCATGGGTTTTTCTGTTTCATGGCTCAAACTGTTGTGACTCAGAATTATACTAGGACAGGACCCTGACTTATTCTTCTGGGCTGGGCTGAGTGAGGCCTGGCTGAGTGCACCTGGTTACACAGGTAGGGGTGGAATCAAACACTGGAGGTACCCATAACGCTGGTTAGGAGGATAACTAGCTAGAATAAGGTTGGCAAGAACTGGGTGAGCAGGAATAGGAATTAAGACTGAGGACTGGGCTGAGGGTAGGTCAGGGGTTCTGGCAGCAACACAGCTGGAATGAATGGAGAAGCACACACACACCAAAAAAACCAGGCTAAGAAGAGCCTACATCAAGCTTGGCCAACCCACGGCCCGCAGGCTCCATGTGGCCCAGGATGGCTTTGAATGTGGCCCTGCACAAATTTGTAAACTTTCTTAAAACACTATGAAATTTTTTGGTGATTTTTTAAGCTCATAACTATTGTTAGTGTTAGTATGGTTTTTTTGTTTGTTTGTTTTTGTTTTTTTGAGACGGAGTCTCGCTCTGTCACCCAAGCTGGAGTGCAGTGGTGCAATCTTGGCTCACCACGACCTCCACCTCCCAGGTTCAAGTGATTCTTCTGCTCCCGCCCCCAGAGTAGCTAGGATTACAGGTGCTCGCCACCATGCCCAGCTAATTTTTGTATTTTTAGTAGAGATAGGATTTCACCATGTTGGCCAGGCTGGTCTCAAACTCCTGACCTTAAGTGATGTGCCCGCCTTGGCTTCCCAGAGCACTGGGATTACAGGCATGAGCTGCTAGGCCCGGCAGTGTTAGTATATTGTATGTGTGGCCCAAGATAATTCTTCCAGTGTGGACCAGGGAAGCCAAAAGATTGGACACCCATGGCCGAGATGGACATGAAGCCAGGTAAGTACATGGCAGGTAAGCTGAGCTCCAAATGGGAGGCAGTGGGATATCACAGTCAAGAGCATGGGTTTTTCCTTCACTTACATAGATTTGTATTTAAATCCTGTCCTCCCAATTACTAGCAGTGTGATTTGGGGCAGTTTACTTCAACCCGCCGCAGTTAATTCATCTCTAAAATTAGGATAATAATATGTATCCTGCAGGTGATTGTAAGAATTAGAAATAAGGCATACAACATGCCTCACACATTGCTTCTCTAACTGGATTCACAAATGTACTCTTGGGAGTCCAAAAGTTCTCCACAAAAATTTTATCTTAAGTTCTTAACCTTTTTTACATGTATTTTAAAGAGCAGTTTTAGGTTAATATCATATTTGAGAAGACAATACAGAGAACTCTCTCTACTGGTAGTTTATAATCTATCCCCATTGCTTCATCTGGATTATCATTCCCCACCATTGACATCCTGCACCAAAGTGGTACATTTGTTACAATTGATGAGGCAGAATTGACACATCATTGTTACCCAAAGTTCATAGTTTACATTAGATTTACTCTTGATGTTGTAGTTATAATATCCCATGGGTTTTTAACAAATGTAGCATGACATGTATCTATCATTATTGAATCATACAGAATACAGGCATGTCTCAGAGATATCATGGCTTGATTCCAGACCACCACAATAAATCGAATATTGCAATAAGGTGAGTCATATGAATTTTTTATTCCCCAGTGCATATAAAAGTTACATTAAAACTATACTATGGTATATTAGGTGTGCAATGGCATTATGTCTAAAAAACAGCATACACACCTTAATGAACAAATAGTTTATTGTTTAAAGTGCTAATGATCGCCTAAGCCCTCAGCCAGTTGTCATCTTTTTGCTGGTCGATGTTGATGGCTGCTGACTGATCAGGGTGGTTGTTGCTGAAGGTGGTAGGTGGCTGTGGAAATTTCTTAAAATACAACAACAATGAAGTCTACCACATTGATTGACTCTTCTTTCATGAAAGAGTTTTCTGGAGTAGGCAGTGCTATTTAACAGCATCTTACCCACAGTAGAACTTCTTTCAAAATTGGAGTCAGACCTCCCAAACCGTGCCACTATTTCATCAACTAAGTTTACATAATGTTCTAACTCCTTTGTTGTCATTTCAACAATGTTCACAGTATCTTTACCAGGAGTAGATAACATCTCAAGAAACCGCCTTCTTTGTTCATTCATAAGGAGCAACTCCTCATCTGTCAATTTCTATCATGAGATGGCAGCAATTCAGTCCCATCTTCAGGCTCCACTTCTAATTCTAGTTCCCTACCTATTTCTACCACATTTGCAGTTACTTCCTCCACTGAAGTCTTGAATCCCTCAAAATCATCCATAAGGGTTAGAATCAACTTCTTCCAAACTCCTGTTTGTGTTGATATTTTGACCTCCTCCATGAATCACGAATGTTCTTAATTATGTCTAGAAGAATCATCTCCAGAAGGTGTTCAATTTGCCTTGCCTAGATCCACCAGAGGAATCACTGTCTATGACAGCTATAGCTTTATGAAATGTATTATATTTCTTAAATAGTAAAACTTGGAAGTTGAAATTATATTTTGATCCATGGGCTGCAGAATGAATGTTGTGTTAGCAAGTGTGAAAACATCATTAAACTCCTTATACATCTCCATCAGAGCTCTTACATAACCAGTGCATTGTCAATGAACAGTAATATTTTGAAAGGAATCTTTTTTTTCTGAGCAGGTCTCAACAGTGGACTTAAAATATTCAGTAAAACCATGCTGTAAAAAGATGTGCTGCCATCTAGGCTTTGTTATTCTATTTATAGAGCACAAAGCAGATTTAGCCTAATTCTGAAGATCCCTAGGATTTCTTAAATAGTAAACAAACATTGGCATCAACTTAAAGTCACCAGCTGCCTTCACCCCTAACAAGAGAGTCAGTTTGTCCTTTGAAGTCTGAAGCCAGGTATTGACTTCTCCTTTCTAGCTATAGAAGTTCTAGGTGGCATCTAGATGACATCTTCTCCCAATAGAAAGCTGTTTTGTCTATGTTAAAAATCTGTTGTTTAATGTAACCACCTTCATCAATGATCTTAGCTAGATCTTCTGGATCTTGCACTTTTATGTGCACGAAGATGTCTTTTATGTTAAGGAGATGACTTCTTTCCTTAAACCTCATGAACCCACCTCTGGTGGCTTTAAACTTTTCTTCTGCAGCTTCCTCACCTCTCTCAGTCTTCATCGTACTGAACAGACATGCTCTGAATTAGGCTTTGGGCTTAAGAGAATGTCGTGGCTTGTTTGATCTTCTATTTAGACCACTAAAACTTTCTTCATGTCAACAACAAGGCTGTTTCACTTTCTTATGATTTGTGTGGTTGCTGGAGTAGCACTTTTAATTTCCTTTAAGAACTTTTCTTTTGCATTTACAACTTGGTTAACAGGAGCAAGAGGCCCTGCTTTTGGCCTATTTCAGCTTTGGGCATGCCTTCCTCACTAAGCTTAGTCATTTCCAGCTTTTGATTGAAAGTGAGAGATGTGTGATTCTTCCTTCCATTTGAAAAGCTAGAGGCCATTATAGGGTGATTAATTGGCCTAATTTCAATGTTTTTGTGTCTCAGGGCATGGGGAGGCCTGAGGAGAAGGAAAGAGATGGGAAAATGGCTGGTTTCTGGAGCAGGAAGCACAGACACACATTTATTGATTAGGTTTACCACCTTATATGGGTGCAGTTTGTGTCACCCCCAAAAAATTACAATAGTGACATCAAAGACCACTGATCACAGATCACCGTAACAGATATAATACTGAAATAGCGCAAGAATTACAAAAATGTGAGCCAGAGCCATGAAGTGATTACCTGCTGTTGGAAGAATCGCACTGATAGATCTTGCTCAACACAAGCTTGCCACAAACCTTCTTTAAAAAAAACAATGCAATGTCTGCAAAGGGAAATAAAGCAAAGTGCAATAAAACAAGGTGTATCTGTAGTTGTGCTGCTGCAAAAATTATCTGTGCTGTGTCTATTCATCCTTTCCCCCTCCCAATCCCTGGCAACCACTGATCTTTTTACTGTCTCCATAGTTTTGCCTTTTCCAGAATGCCATACAGTTGGGATAATAAAGACAGTATGTAGCCTTTCCGACTGGCTTCTTTCACTTAGCAGTATGCATTTAACCTTCTTTCATGTCTTTTCATGGCTTGGCAACTCATTTCTTTCTAGTACTGAATGACATTTTATTGTCTGGATGTATCGCAGTTTTTAAAATTCATTTACCAACTCTTAACTTTTAATCCAGTGATTTTCAAACTGGGGCCTTTGGAGATCTGAGCTGAATGTGTATTCTTGAGGACTCAAGAGTTTTAGAATTTGAGAGATAACTAGCCAAGCATATAGTATGTGCTCAATATGTATAATAATTAGTGACAGAATTGCAACTATTGTAAAAGAAGCTAAAAGTGTTGTGAAGCAGGGCTGGGTGGGGCCTGTGTTCACAAGCTTTCTCCCAGAGAGGAGAGGCATGTCAACGGGATTTGTAGTCAACGCAGTTTATTTGCAGCTAGAGAGGGTTTGAACTTCCTGACAGCTGCCTGGGGCTGCCCAGGCTTCAAGGGCCACATTCCTGGGGCAGATGCTGGACACTACTGTGGCCTGATAGTTTCTGACAGCCCCATTTTTAAAACTTGGAACATTTTCTTATCTTGAGTTTTCTGGCACTTTTCGCTTGCTCAGTGATTTCCAGAGATTACGGTGTGATTCCTCAATTACCTCTGAAAGGTCTTCCTGTTCCCTGGGCTGTAGTTCATGGGGCCTGGAGACCTGAACTCATTTGGGCTGCTCGGGGCTGCCTAAATCTCTGTCCATCCATCTTTAGCTTCTGTTCTCTCTTAACCATCTGTGTTCTGCTCCACTAATATTGAAGATTTTGCTTCCAGATGGCAAGGCTAGAGTAAAATTGCAGCTGGGCAGTGCCATCATCTGTTCCACCATCTACCCCAGGCCATCGCCTTCCTTTGTTCATCTTCTTACCTGAAACACAATTTTACAAAGTCCATGTTTTGCCATCTGAGCATTGCACAGGCCTGAGGTCAGAGCTGTGACCATGACCCAGCCTTTCCTGTGCTGTCCTTTATCTGTGCTCCTCTCTACCTGCATAGTGAAATGCTCCCTGCGCTGACACACAGCTCAGGAGTTTAAGTACCCCCTCCCTTGTGTTCATCTGGATTATGCCTTATTGTATTTTCAGAATTTCATTTTTTTAGAGCTATCTGCTTCTTAAGTCATATTTTGTTTTAGGGACGGGGTTCTCAACCCTGGCTGCACATTAAAGTGATTGGAGAAATCAAACCTCTAGGGTATGGTTTTCCAGTTAATCATAAAAAATCTCTCATGTTTAGGTTCTCCACATAATGATAAAAGAAAAAAGTATTAAAATGAGCTGCATCAAAATTAAACATTCCTGTTCACCAAAAGCTACTGTTAAGAAAAAGAAACAAATCACAGACTGGCAGAAAATATTTGCTACACATATATCTGACAAAGTACTTATAACCAGTATAAATTAGCAATTGCTACAATTCAGTAATAAAAAGAAGAAATTGATCAAACAGCTTGAACAGGCACTTCACAAAGGAAAATTTGTAAATGATCAGTAAACACACAAAAAGGCACTTAACATCATTAGTCATAAAGGAAATGTGAATTAAAACCTACTAACATGGCTAAAATTTAAAAATGACAACATCAAATGTTGGCAAGGATGCAGACCCACTGGAACTCTCATTTGTTTCTGGTAGGAGTATGAAGTGGTACAACCACTTTGGATACCGGTCTGGCAGTTTCTCATAAAGTGAAACATACACCTACCCAATGACCAAAAACACTACTTCTGGGTGTCTACCCAAGATAAATGAAAATAGGCACAAACTAGTAGACTTAAAAGCTTTATTAATAATAGCCCAAACTGGAAACCATCCAAATTTTC